ATTAAAACTTTAATTAACCAATGTGTCTACTCCAGGACTAAGACTCAGAGTCTGGGATCTCAGTCTCTATGTTTCTTTAGCTTGCTACACGAATCTCTGCTAATAAGTTTGTTTCTTTGTCTATTACTTTCCAAACCAAAAGTCACTTTTATCACCCTGTTCAGCACGGCAAGGATAAATTAAGTGAAACCTAATAAAACTTTGGAAGACATTCCAAAATGTGTAAGGTTTCCACAGAAGAAAATGATTTTTAGAAAAAGAGCACACTTTCCTCAAATCAGGTAATCAATAATGTCTCTTTCCTGTGTAAATTTGCATCCCACTAGACATGTTAGCACTAGACCTTCACATAGTATGAACTATGGATTCCTGTATGGCTGTATTGAATTCTTTCCTGTAAATAAATAAATAAATAAATAAATAAAAACTTACAGATTGGTGGATCTCACTTGGGTTAGGGGATAGAAACACAATATATACATTAGTCACTTGGGGAATTTTTTAACGAACAGGCAGCTTTTTACAGATTGTTTTATAAAACATGATGGGAAAGAAAGCTGGAAGGTAGAAGAATCCACATTTTTAAGCACTCCAGGTGATTCTGATACATCTTTTCTCTAAAAAGATTCTTGGCTTTCCTCGAGTAACCTGATCCAAGATCTTGCACTTTCTTGCCAAGATGTTCCTTATATTTACCTCTCACCTATTTCTTCTTTGCTTAGCTCTCACTGAAGATAGAGAATAATTTACAAGTATCTTGCACATGTATACACAGGGGAATGTGAATAATGACCCTGTTCTCAGGGGTTGGGGGCCAGCTGGTTGGAAACATCAGCATCTCCAGGGTTGAAATAATCTCTTAGCCATATGTTTCCTTCGCCAAATGGAGCAGGGCATGACAATCCCAGTGGAAGGCTCTCTGGACCCTAGACTTGTCCAGATGGATCAGTTGCAGGTGGAGTAAATGGGACCCTAGGGCCCCATCAGGTCACCTTGCTAAGTATGACTCAGGCCAGCAGCTCTTTATTTCTTCCTGTCTCTCCCACTTCCCACCGCTCATCTTTGTGGGAAGCTGCCAAACAGGGGAACAAGAGTCAGGCAGGGGGAGGGAGTAGTTCTTAATGGATATTGTATCTCCTCAGTGGTTTGGGGTCTGGAAGAGATAAACCAGACCTGAAATATATAGGCTCCTCCCCAGATGTATTTCAGTTAATGCTCTAGTGGCCAAGAAGCTGAGAAGCAGTCAGAGCTGGAGTGACAAAATCAATTCCCCTTGGTTAAACAAGTTTAAATTTAACCCCCAAAGTTCTTTGTCTGGAGTCTTTCATTCATGGAGGAGTTCAAACTTCTCTTAAAGCTGAGTTTCATGACACCGGCAAAATTTATCCTAGAAAATCAGAACCAAGAAAACTGGAGAGCTTTGTGTAATGATCATGTGCCTAAATTATGGGCTCCTTGAAAATGTAATGTATTCAAGCAGTCTTCGCCATTCCTTCGTATCTGATGCGACTTTCACAGGCACCAGGTTGTAAAAGGAGCGTGAGGGGCTGGAGAGAGATAGAGGTAAGACAGACATTTTGCCAGAATTCCATACTCAGCATCCCATATGGTCCCCCAAGCACAGGAGAAAATCCTGAATGCAGGGCCTGGAGTAACCCAAGCATTGCTGTAAGTTCACACCATTTTTTATAATAAATAAATAAATAAATAAATAAATAAAACAGCTCGAAAGACTTGGTATTGCATAAAGAAAAAACAAAATGCAGTATTCCTTGCAATATAATTTCTCTGCCCAGGGTTAAACCTTATAGCATGCCTTGAGTTTTAACTCTTGTAATGACACTGTCAACTGACACGTTCTTATTGAACTTTAAAAAGCATCTCAGTGTGAACATTGTGACTATGTTCCTATGAGCAAAGTTTAATGGGGAATATAGAAGAACAGAATCTTATAAGAGACATATGACACTCATGTCTATTCTTCTGTATGGTACTTTTCACTCAAAGTTCTTCCTCACTCAATCCACATGGTAAAATCTACCCTCAATACATTCCTTTGAATTTCTAGCAGTAGTAAAATCAATTAAGTCACAGGTTGCATGCAAAATAGAAAGCAACGACTCTAATTTAATATAGTCTATTGCTACTGGTCTGGGCTGGAGCAATATCACAACAGTGGGTGTTTGCCTTGTGCACGGCCAGCCTGGCTGAGCTGGGTTTGATTCCTCCACGATTCCTCCACCCTTCTTGGAGAGCCTGGCAAGCTACCGAGAGTATCTCGCCCGCACCGCAAAGCCTGGCAAGCTATGCGTGACATATTTAATATGCCAAACACAGTAACAAGTCTCATGATGGCAATGTTACTGGGCCCGCTTGAGCAAATTGATGAACAATGGGAGGCCAGTGCTATAGTGTTACTGGTGTGATTTCTATTAGTAAGCATCTCCCTATCCATTCTCTGCAGAAAACTTTTAGAAATGTAAAATAGTCCATGTTGTCTCTCTTCAGAAGAAAATAGAACTCCCTCTGCTACAACCCTGATTCTGAGTTTGGGAAAAGGAAACAACATAAATGAGCACAGCTCTCACATGTCCAGCTTCTTTGAACCTACAGTAGACATTGCCTTATTCATGCACTCCTTCTTTTCTCAGTTACTGAATATCTGCTGTGTGCCAGATACTAAGCTCTAGCCTAGGGCAATAAATATGGATTGCAAGGACAGTCTCTTTCTCCTTCCAACCATGTTTCACTTCCTAAAATCATGTTCCATAAAAGTGCTGAGCTAGCTTTATTGTGTTAAAGAATACAGGTGAGAAGTAAGACTGCTTAAAGTTGATTTGTAACAGACAGAAAACTACAAAAGAGGTTTAAAGTTATTGACCTTGCTAACTAGTTTTTTGGCATGATTTTCAAGGGAGAAATGAAGAAACAACTTTCCATGTGATTATAAAACTATCAATAGATAACACTGTAGCACTGTCCTCCCATTGTTCTTTGATTTGCTCGAGCGGACCCAGTAACGTCTCCATTGTGAGACTTGTTGTTACTGTGTTTGGCATATTGAATACATCACGGGTAGCTTGCCAGGCTTTGCCGTGTGGGCGAGATACTCTCGGTAGCTTACTGGGCTCTTCCAAGAGGGGTGGAGGAATCAAATCTGGGCCGGTTGGGCCGGCCGTGTGCAAGGTAAACGCCCTACTGCTGTGCTATTGCTCCACCCTATCAACAGAGAAAGGGCAAGAAAATTAAAATAAGAAAGAATAGAATTTTAACTTAGAATTTAAGTTTTACATTGAGTTCAAAAAGAGGAAACCAGATAACATCACCATAATTTTAGCACAGCAACAAAAAATTTGGTGCTTTAGTAGGCATGCCAAGAAATCACTATACTTTAACTTAGGGAGGGATTCTTGGCCTGGGCACTATTGACAGTTTGGACTAGTCAATGTTTCTGTGTTAGTACTGGGAATCTTATTCTTGTATATCATGCAATGTTTATCAGTGTTCCTCGTCTGTACCTACTGGATGTCACTAGCTGACTCCTTAAGTTTTAATAACAAAAACATATGCCTTAAGACATTATTAAATGTGTCTTTGGTGGGAGTTGTTAAAAATCACACCCTTTTGAGATGCATTGTCATAGTTCATTACTAACATCTCACACCAAGTACTGCTGAATGCTGTAACTGGAGAGAGAAAAAAAGGTAATTGGAATCTGGTGTATCTTTCCTTGAATACAAATTCAAGAAGAGAAGCGATTACAGGAAAAGTTGTTGTTATCTGCCCAAAGTTAATGGGCAACTTAGTGAAAAAGTCAGAAGTAGGATCCAAGTTTTCTGTCTGCAGTCACCCACACTGTACTGTTAATGGAGATGATAATGATAAAGAATCGAATATTGATTATAAAACTCCATGACAATAAAGACAAACTTTGTTAGTAGATTCTACTAGCACTTTTTCCCAGTGCCTCATACATACAATAAAAGGTAGCTTAAATATCTGCACCCATGCTTGCCCATCTAAACTGTTTCTTATATAACTCAAATTAAACTGTTCCCATTATCTTCCTGAAGTATGTCACTATTATAATTTGCTCCTTTTTAGCCCATACACACATATTCCAGGCCTGGATCCTAAATGAGATAAGATAATTAGGAGTAGGTCAAGGCATATGAAACCTGGATGAACTATTATTGGCTATCTGAGAAAGAGAGCTTTAGGTATAGTCAAGTGTGCAATAACCTAGAGTTTGTGTGGTACTTCGGATTTCACTATTAGTGTGTTTTTTTTTTAATTTTTATTAGTGAGACACCATGAGGTATACAGTTGTAGATTTACAAATTTTTGTGCTTGGGTTTCAATTATACAATGATCAAGTACCCATCCCTCCACCAGTGCCCAGTTTCCACCACCACGGATCCCAGTATCCCTCCCACACCCATCCCCCCATCCCACCGTGCCTCTGTGGCAGGGCATTCCCTTTTATTCCCTCTCTCCTTTTGAGTGTTGAAGGATTTCACTATTAGTGTTGTGTTTCTTTGGTGAGGGTTGCACATTTTAAACCCTAGTAATTAATAATGTGTATATGTTTATTAGATTACTGGGTTTTTTAATTATTGCTATAAATTAGGGCTCATAGAACTCAATTTTCTTTTGGACCAGTAATACTAGGACAAATGTTGTTACTCCTGGATAGTAGATATAGATAATATTTTTATTCTTCTCAATCCACCTGTGGATGAAATAAGGTAAGCAAGTGGAGGGTAAACAAAATAGTTATCAACTCTGTCTACTAGTCAACTTGTCAGTGAATAAACTCAGTGTAGATTGCACTTTGCAGTGTCCTAGTGAACTGTCCTAATGAAGAAATATAAGATGAAATGTCTTATGGCATTAGAGCTGGACAGAGAGAGAGGCTGAGTAGATATTCCTATTAGGTAAAATATTCTGACACCCATCATAAAGCTTACCACCCTCCCCAATCCCAACAACAGTCTTACCTCCCACAAACTGCGCTGCTCCCATGCAACGTCCCATCATTCTGGAGATGAGCTCTTCCATGCAGCAGCCAAGGACAGCAGCCAGTGCCACCAGGAGTAGCAGAGCACAGCCAACACCTGTCACCACTGTGCACATCTGCCAGGCTAGGCTTGGAATGGCATTGAAGCTGGCATAACGCCCACACTCTTCCACCATGATCAGATTGTGCCCCTCTCCCCGCACAGGGTAGTTGCACCTCCGGAATGTGCTGAATGACACGGGCTTCCCCATCTGGGATCCAAAGAGCCAGTAAGGGAGGAAGTAACTGGTAGAACTGGCCACAGCAGTAACAAGAGACAGGAAGGCCCAGAGGGTTCCCACAAGTGTCAGGCTGCTCCTCATGGTCCCAGGTTTCTCTGCAGGGATGGAGATGAGTTGAGTCACAGAACCAAATGCATAAAGCTATATATAGGCTCCATTGGTATAATTTTCACCTGACTAACTAATCATGAGACTCTTTATGTGCCACTTTCCTCTGTTTCTGGATAAGATTATTTTCTCCAGGACTGTCTGGGTCCTTATGAGATTCTGCCTTTACGACACTCTACCTATCTTGCCTTCTTTTCTCCTGATTCAGAATTATATGGTATGTCGACTGCAGTAAAATAAACATAGAACTGAATCAATGACTACTCTGTAAACTCAAATACAACCTTATTAGACTTCTTTCAACTCTTAACTTTGAGAATGAAACAAGTGGATTGAAGGAAGTCTGGATGATATCAAGACTTCCTGGGATTCCAGTAGAATGTCATAAGTGGAGTAAAGTTCTAAAAGGGAGTTCTATTTCAAAAGTTGTCCTCAGAGAGCTCAGGAAGTAAGATAACAAACAATAAGGTCCACCCTTACTACAAGAGAAAAGAGGGAAAGAGAACTAATCATGGAGTTTTAGGGTGTGGCCATTTAACCTAGGTAGAATGTCTGAAAAGGAGTTAATGTAGACTTTTCACTAGGAAGTGTCAGCCAGATTGAAATAAGTAGAATAAACTAAGGTGTGCCTAGTCTCCTACTTCTTGTCTATAATTGAGTCAACACTGTTCAGTCACTTAGCCAAAATCAAAATGGGGTGAACTTTTTGATCTATTAAAAGTTGTCTAACTCTAGACTTACTGCTACATAAACTACCTCATGCTTCACTAAATCTGGTCAAGGGAGATACTCATATCTCTCAAATGATTCGGGTATCCTTTCTAGTATAAGGAACATATATCCCTAAGGCCCTTTCAAGCTGCATTTAGAACAAATAATCTCAGATTCAAGATTCTGAGAGTCTTTTCAGATCTAGTCTCCTCATTTCTACTCACAAATCACAGATTCTTCCATCAAAAGTCAACCACTTTCCTCTCAACCGCATTAATCTGCTCACTGCTTTCTGACCTGTTTTTCGATTAGGGCTGCCAGAGGACACACAGCAGTTGATGACAGCACTGCGAATATCTCCAGGATGCAGATGGTGGAGTACATTTCACAAACTTCTTCATGATTCATAACCATTGCTCAAAGTTACAGGTGGCAGAAGAAAGGAGGGGTGTGGTAAAAAAAAGGCAAGGCAAGGCTAATCATTGCTGCCATACTGATAATTTGTAACTTGCTAAGAGTAAGCAACAATCATACTCAGGATCTAAGGGGCCATATTCCCTTTTACAACCATCATCAGATAATGCCTGGCACAGAGTTGGCACTCTAATTCAAGTTTGTTTAATGAAACACATTTCATGTAATCATACCACTTCTTGGTTGGCAGAGACTGTAATGAATCACCTAATTCAAACTTCTTGTTTTACATATGAGGGATTATGGCCTAGTAAATGAGGAAAATAATTTCCTCCAAATCATAGTGTTAGCAAGCAGCAACATCGGAATCAGAAATGCGATCTGTAGATCCTTATACCACTGCTTTTCTGTACTAACGTCACCCTCAACTCACCATCACTTTACATATGGGAATATTGGGAGGAAGTTATTTCCCCGAAGGTAAAGATCTAGTAAGCTACACTGGCCAGACCAGAGTCTTGTTATTTGACTCTTAGTATAATACTCTTTTTTTCACTCCACCACAATTCCCCTCTTGATACTTATGTATTGTGTGCTCTGTGCTTCATACAGGAAGAGAGCAGAGATCATAAATTGCAGGTGCTTACTTTGGAATGCAAGAGCTTGGGAAGAAAGTGCCCTGAACTGGGCCCCTGGGAATGAGGCTTTGTGCCTGAGTGAGGGAAAATGAGAGAAAGATGCGAGAAGGGAATGAAAGCCAACGAGAGTAGAAGTGAAACTGGTTTTGAGTAATTGCTGTTAGAAAGCAGGTATTTGGGGCCACGATGAGGTAATGTTTCTGTTTCTTACATTAGGGTTTGCATGATTATGAAAAGTGCAAGAATTCTTCTGCTGTGAACTTACTTCCTGATGAAGAAGTCAACACCAGAGGATGGAAGGAAACAAGCTATAAAGAGTTTCTGACTTATCATCACAATCTCCTCCCAATCCATTGCTTCATATGCTCTTTCCAAACTGTGTTCTTGGGTTGGTAAGAATTATGTTATCACCAATTTATACATTTTCAAATTGAAAATCAGATAGCTAATTGACCTGCCAAGGTTGTGCAACTTGCAGTGGCAGAATCATCATTTCCCACTTTTCCTTCTCCTGAAACCTTCCCCCATTCTCTCATAAGTCCAGTAAGTATTATTATTATTATAAGACTCTATGTTTCCATCTGGGTTTCAGAATGTGTTTAAGGATGAAGGAAAAACTAGAAGGAAAATAAGACAGCATGAGGAAGGTAATTTTTTCTAAAATGAGCATGAAATAATGGAGCAAGAGCTTTAGTAGTTTCAGGTTCACCAATCATCATCAGAGCCCCATATGTATTCCCAAGTAAGTCATCATCTTAAGAGTGAAAGCCTACTATGACAATATTTAAAAAGGCAAATAATTTAGAGCAGAACATGAACTATCAGTTTTACTAAGATTATATTAGAAAAAAGGGGAGAGGTTTATAAAGTTATCAACATCAATGACAATTGAGGCTGCTTTTAAAAATATCTATTATTTAGTACTAAATTGTATAGATATATTTTATTACCATATATATAAATTATATATTGTATAAGTATATAAATTGTACAAATATAGTATTGGCTAGGGATGCAGCTCAGTGGATAGCACTTACCTTGCATACCTGAGGTCCTAAGCTCAATTCCAAAACCCATAAAATAATAATAATAATCATAATAATAATAACAATTCTACCAAAATCTGTCTCAAAATTTCATTTTAGTGGCATTTTGCGGTCAATATGCAGAAATACTTGTGAGAATACTGATTTTGATCCTCTCTCTTCACATTTTACACAGGCCATAATCTCTTGTTTCTCTTTCTTTCAAATGAGTTGCTTGTCTGAGACTTTATAAGAGTGGTAGTGTGATATGTAGAAATGTGCGAAAAAGTAATAACCAGGGTGTATGCATGAGATGTGAGTTTTACTGTCTTTACTAAAGAGTAATGTTCATTAATTCCATGAGATTAGCTAAATGTTCATTAGTTTTTAGACATACTGTTATTAACATAAAAGAGTATCAATCAATAGAGATCACTTCAACTTATTTGAGGCAGGAAGCCACATAAGTTGTGCATGCCAAATGATTATATATACTCCTTTTAAAGAACTCTAGAAATAAAACACTACAATTTTTGCCAATAGTTTAACATCTCTCATTGTCAATAAATCATTTGGTTTATCTCATTTTAACCTTTACTTGAAGAACTTAAGACGAATTCCTTTGATCAGTCCTCAAAGGAGGCAGAGAACATCTTATCCACTGTCCTTCAGATGAAAGCCCTTTATAGACTCACATTGCTAGTATTTTATCTTTGTTTTAACTTTTCTCCCTCAAAAGGGCACTCTACCTTTCTGTGGCGTACCGTTATTAAATGTTTTATTACTTGTTCTGTTCTTTTTACTCATATGTGCATATACACATTGGAAGGTACTTAGTGTCAGAAATGAAATATTTCTAATATTTTTCTTTCTATAGGAAAACAAACCAAATCCTTCCTCTATCTCAACTATTCTCTTGTCAGCACAGAAAAACACTTAAACTGTTTTTTTACCCTTTTGAATTTGTCATGTAATTTTTCAGTTAAAGAAACTATTATATTACTAAGGGATAACAGGTCTGGGAAAAGCAGCCAGCAAGTTAATGACCAGAAAATGAAATAGTCCAAAACCAGAGTTCAGACTTTCAACTTCTGGAGAAAATATGGCTGAAAAACTGCTGGTTTCATAGTTATCTATACAGAACAACTTTGTGGGCAAAGTTGTTGGCAAAAGTACATGAACTGCCTTTCTCTTCATATTCCGAGACAGTGTGCATTGCCTACCTATTACAAATGCATCATACTCAATGAACTTTCTTATGAGATGATAAAATACACAGATAAATATTTCTACTGAATGTGAATAGTATTTTTCCTTTGATATGTTTGCCAATTATGACTCCTTGTATCAAAAATAAGAACAGTCTGATCATTCTAGATTTTTCTGCTTCAGATGCAGCATACAAATCAATGTATTCCTACTTCCCTAACACTTTTCTCTTCACTTTTTGTCCCTGGAGTGCCTAAACAATTTCCCTTTCACTGTATATCTGTACAGTGGGAGTTGTTCTGGATCTCCTGTACCTGAAATCATCTCCCAATGTAAGTATTTCAGGAGCTATAATTCCCATCTGTGCAATAGTGGCTTAAAAATAACTTCATTTGACTAGAGTTATAATACAGCAGGTAGGGTGTTTACCTTGCATAGTTGCTGGCCCAGTGTTTGATTTTGGCACCATATATGGCCCCCCAAGCCTAAGCAGGATTTATCCCAGAGTGTAAAGCCTGGTATAAATCCCTAGCACCGCAGAGTATGGCCCAAAAACAAAAAATTACTTTTTTTCTCTTTACGTACTTTATTCTAAATTTTCTCTTACTGGTGCAACATTGGCTTATAAGCATGAAAATGTTTATATATTTTAGGAGCACAGTATTTCCACATCATATCAACCAGCAAAGTAGCAATATTTCTCTACTAGGAAGGTAGGAAAGGGCTTATAAATTCTAGAAACTGTGATAGTAGCAGAGACTTACTTTTTAAATCATTTCTGAAAGAAAAATTGATATCAGAAATATTAAAAGCATTTAATGTATGCACCATGATGAATTTTGACATATAGCTACATGTGTAATGACACTAAACATATTCATAATCTTCCAAATTCCTTGTATTTTTCTTGTATGTGTGTTTTAAGAACACTTAACATGATATCTATGCTACTAATATAATATAATGTGTAGTAAAATTGTAAATAAAGTGCATACTACTGTTTTTCTCTGCAGACACAAAGTTATACACCATGTCTTTTAAATTTAGTTATCTATCATAACTGAAACTTTATACCCATTGTGAAACATTTTTACATTTCCTCTCCGCCAAACCCTGGCAACTACAATTTTACTTTCTGTTTTAAAAGATCTCATTTGACTTTAGTCCTGTTTTTATAATTTTCAGGCTTTGTGCTTTTTAAGTCTTATTGTTCTCCCCTTTTAATCTGGGGTAGAAAGAATAGCAAATCTAGCTTTGTTGGTTTCATTTTCATTTACTTCGTCACGTCCATTCATTCTAAATTGGAGATACTTACAAAAAATAATAAAAATCAGGAAGGCTAAGAGTAAGTAGAAAGAGGACCAACTGCGCCATTAACAAGATAGAAGATCACTGTCACTGTCACTGTCCTCCTGTTGTTCATCTATTTGCTCGAGCGGGCCCAGAAACATTGTGAGACTTGTTACTGTGTTTGGCATATCGAATACGTCACAGGTAACTTGCTAGGCTTTGCCGTGTGGGTGAGATACTCTCAGTAGCTTGCAGGGCTCTCCAAGAGGGGCGGAGGAATAAAACTCGGGTCGGCCATGTTGGCTGCATGCAAGGCAAATGCCCTACCCGCTGTGCTATCGCTCCAGCCCAAGATAGAAGATACATTCTGAATAAGGGAGTAGAGTAGCAAGTATGTATACACAAAAAGCTTCAAAAGAGTGCTCTACAACAGGTCTTAGAAAATTCTATTTTACTATAGTTGGAAGTTGAAATGTAGGAAGAGGAATAAGTTTCCTAAATTTCACGTGAGCTTACCCATCCCCTAATAAAAATCCTTCTCACAGAGCTCCACAACTGTCTTTACATGGAAAACTGTAGTGGAAACTGTAGAAACCTTCTAGTAATGGTAGAAAATAGTAGAAATTGTAGAAAACTGTAGAAACCTTCTAGTAACTATCACCCCAGTTCTCAGTCTTGTTAGACCAATCCCACCATGTCTAGTGATGAATTTCTTGGCTTGAAGTCATATCTAATATTATCTATATGTGAGAACTTATTTCTAAGAACCTACCTAGGAAAATGATGCTAAACCCTTCTAATAATAGACTAATTGGTAAATCAACCTTCAACCTTAGATTCTTAGTCCCAGCCCTGCTATTAATGTCCAACAATTCTTTTACCATGGCTGTAAATAAAATATCACTATAAATGACCACATCTGTAAATTTGGCCACTGTAAGAAGAAAGTGGACTGAATGTTCTCTTAACTACCTCAGAGAACTGGAAGGCAGCCTGGCATATTAAGAGTCCTCTATAAATGGAAATAGTAATACCTTTTCTGCTTCATGGATTGTTAGAAAAATCAAAATGTAATCTTGGTTGTATGTGCTTTATAGACATTCTCTATGTTCAGTATAAATAGAGATATAGTACCACAGTTCCCGGGCTGGAGCGATAGCACAGCGGGTAGGGCGTTTGCCTTACAAGCGGCCAACATGGCCGACCCGAGTTCGATTCCTCCGCCCCTCTCGGAGAGCCCGGCAAGCTACCGAGAGTATTCGATATGCCAGACACAGTAACAACAAAGTCTCCAATGGAGACGTTACTGGGCCCGCTCGAGCAAATCGACGATCAACGGGAGGGCCTTTACTTTTACTTTACCACAGTTCCCATTCTTTTTCTACTGGTCTGAATTTTATGTAACTCTGTAAGATATTGGTTGAAGAATAGTTGCCTACCCCCTGTCTCTCCCCCCCTACATACTCACACTTCATTCCTTCATAACCCAATTTTGCTGAACGTAATGCAGTATGCCCAAAGAGACCTCATTGCATTTAAAGTTTTTATTGTGTCTGAATAAAAACAAACCTGCAGAAGAACTTTACCTAAAAAAAAGAATCCTCCTAAATTGAATGTCTTATCTCCCTGAATCAGAATCACCTTTAATACCTATTCAAATTGCAGAAGAGGAAATACCTTCCAAGATTCTCTGAATTGGAATTTACAGGAATCTTTATCTTAAAAATCTTCAGTGTTGGGACATACCTCAAAGGGCTGGAGTCAATGTATTGCATGCAGAATTTCCTGAGTTCAATCACTTGCCTATATTGCTCCTTGAGCAATTTCAGTATAGCCCCGGTGGCTTCCAGAACCACAAGGCCTACAGTTTAGGATTGCTCAGCCTATGAATTTTAGGCCTGCATAATCAGACCAAGAAAGTGAGTTTACCCTGGTCCCCTGAACAGTGTTTTTGCGGTTCAAAAACAGCAATGAAAACTGCAGCAGCAGCAGCAGCAGCAGCAGCAAAAATTCCCAGTTGTTTCTGATGAGAACTAATGAATGAGAAGAACTGTTTTACTAGAAAGGAGCTCAGATAAGGTAATCAAATCTGAAATACAATCCTCCGATTTCCTCTCTTCAATATATGAATTATAGAGGATCTTCCAAAAGCTCTGTTTTTCACTTTTATTTATAACAGGGAGACTACAAAACATAGAGTTCAAGTGAAATAGAAGTATGTGGAATACATTAAGAGAGGTGTCAGTTCTATTTTCTCATAAAGGAAAAGTTGAAATCACCTAAGAAGCAGAACAATCCTCCTATCACTGATCACTTGATCACTTAATTTCTCTTCACCCCTAGGCTTCTTTCTACTTTCAATTTTCCACCACAAAGTTGAACTCTGTTATTTCTCAAGAATGAATTTATAGTTGAAATGTTTCAGGTTCCTCTGGAAATCATCATGTTTAGCACATAGTAGGAATTCATAAATAGTCACTGAGTGAAGGTGAACTTTTGTTTCAAGTCTGACTGACTTTCACTTATGTGTTTTGATTTAATCCATCACACCATTTCAGTCCCATAACTACAATTTAGGCAAGTCTAAAAAATCAACACAGCATATCAGCAACTCAGGTCCACTTTCAGAGAGGTCAAAAACAAAATTCCTCCCTGCATTCAAGATATCTGTAAATCCTCTCTTCAGGTTACCAGCTCTCTTGAAGAACTAGAATTTAACTCAAATTTAACCCTTCAATACTCAAACCATGTTAATATGAATTAGTAATCCAACCTTGATTCTTTTTATTCTTTATGCCTACAACAAATTATTCAGATGTAAAAATTCACCAGGCTGCATTTGGAAAGAAAACAACTTCTATTAATTGTGAGATGAAAAGACAGGAAACCTGAAAAAGGAAAGGGAGAAGGGGGACTGACCAAGGGGAAAACAAAGCAGTCTTATCCAGCTGTTTCAATTGCATTTGACCCAAGTTGCAAATTTACCTTCTGAACACAAGGCTGATTGACTTGTTCCCTCTCTTGAGATTCAGATCTGAGAACCAATTTCTCCTCACAGCTTGTCAGAAGGGGATGGGAATCCCAGCTGCTCTTTGCAGTGATGCCTGAAACCCTTGCTTTACCTTTGGGATAAAGGGGTGGAGTCCAACCTAATAGGAGTTAACTCCAAACATGCTGGAAGCTTCAGATCCTACCTCAAACATTCAAGCATTTGAAGTAGCTTAGCAGGCACAAAGTACCCCTCCTCCAGTCTCACAGCTGCCAAGCCAGCGGGCTGTGATTATGTGTGAGTGTATGTGTATGTATGAGCATACATATAAATGATCTGCCACAGTTGAACTACTGCTAACTTAAAGCCTGTTGAGGAATAGAGATTCTCTCAATCTCTTCTGTAACGAGCTAAAGACATCGTATATGCTAATTGACTTATGTGGCTGTAAATGTTTTGTAACATTTAAGCAGAGTAAGGCAGAATATCTTTCCCCAAAGCATATCAGCTGTTTGATGGGAATAGTGCTCCCACAAAACAATCTATGGCTACAAACCTAAAATCACACTAAAAGGCTAAATAATGCTTTATATATCTTTATTTTATCTTATAGTTAATATGATTACAATAGTGTCAAAGTTTATGTTTTTGATATACAAAGTTGTTGCACTCCACCACTACCAAATGCACTTGCCCTCAACCACTGTCCTATGTCACCTCTGATTTGGTCTTCATTTCCCTCAGTGTTAATCAGTTTCTTTTGTCACACATTCATGCATTAGTCTCTCTTGTGACTTTCCATCAGCATTTTTAGGCATTATTATTTTGCCCCAAAACACTGAGTAATCACATATCCATCTGCAATAATAGCTTATTAATGCAGTTTTGCTGGGAGGGATAAATGAAACTTTGGTGGAGTGTCTGAATTCTACTATATATTCTCAAAAGATATATTTAATTATCTCTTGGTGTGTGTCCCTCTATGGATCACTGATTCACAGTCAAAGACATTTCTGAGTTAGCATAAGTCACAGCTCTGCCATCTTAGGCCTTGAGGATTAACAAGCAACTGCTCCATTTTAGGACATGTGCAATCGATCTCTCCCAAAATATTGCCACCCATAGTGCCCTGTACCTCACCAAATTCCAATTTGGCATGTACAGACTTAGTAGACCTTAAACAGTTTCTGAAGGTGAGTACAGCATCTTCTGGAAAAGGACAATGGAGTTGCAATATTGAACAGATGCTTTAGAATCTTACAGGTGAGAGCTTAAAGCAGCTCTGACCATATTCCCTTAGGAGAATCATTTTTGACTTTCTGTACTCCTTCTGTCTTATGCTCAGCACCTAGCCCTCTTTTCCAATTTTTCACAAGGGTCACTCCCCTAATAAAAATTTGTCTGGGAAAAATTGGGGAATCGAACAAAATTATCAATGCTTTAGATATAGGCTTATGAAGACAAATGTTGAACACGAGAGATATAGTACAGGGGTTAATATACTTGCTTTGCACACAATCAACTACAATTCAATCTCTGTCATCCCATGTTTCCCCAAACACTTGGAGCAAACCCCATGCACCAACTAATGTGACTTCAACTCCACAAATAAAGAAAATAAACAGAACATGATAACAATGTGAAATACACATTGACTTTTTAAAATTATTTTATCAGTAGTTATCCACACTGTAGAATTTCAAGTTTTATAGCTCCCTATCTGTATAAGATTCACTATATCAGCCATCAAAAAGACGTCCTCTACATATTAAACTTAACCTTTACCCCTTTTCCTTAGGTAACCACAATAGTTTTTGCAATTCTAGAAATTATTTTTTCTGATTTTTGTCAGTTTGATTTAGCTACTTGTATTGTACAGGTTACACTTGAATAGATGTGGCTCACTGCCGGCAGTTTCTATCTTTGTTGTCTGTGCACCAACATCCAATTATGGTGAAAGAGAAATTGAGAAGTTCTACATGGAGCTGGAGAAGTTCTATAAAGAAGATCACACCTTCTACAAGATCATTGTGGGTGATTTTAATGCCAAGATAGGACCAAGAAGATCAGCCGATGAACTCCACATCGGGACCCATGGCCTAGAATGGAACGAACAGGGTGACAGACTGTCTGAGTTCATCATGTCAATCAAGACCTTCCATGGTAACTCACAGTTCCAAAAGGCTGAATCTAAACATTGGACATGGGAGTCTCCCAGTGAACGGTTCCACAATGAAATAGACGACATCATATTCAATTGGCAGTTTTGCCTAACCGATGTTGCTGTTGTCCCAAAATTCCAAACAGGATCAGACCACCGTCTCCTTTGTGCAAAATTCTACCTCACAGAAAGAGGAGAAAAGAATGCAAAGTTTAAGAAGAGAACTCCCAGAACGACCACCAACTGGGAGCTCTTTGGCTCTGTTGCGGTAACATGGGAAGATGCCGTCATTGACAACATTGATGAGGAATACGATCGAATGATTCAGCACCTCCATGATTGTGCGAGGAATGCCAAGAGAAAGATAACCACAAAAAACCGCCTTTCTTCGAACACTCTTAAACTTATTTGCCAACGTGGCTTGGCACATGCCTCAGGCAACCGCAAGCGAACATCCGAGCTGGCAAACAATGCAGAGAAGCCATCAAGGATGACCTCAAAGACAGGAGAGCAGCGGTGCTGGTAGATGCGGCAGAAGCCAGGAAAAGCATTTGTAATGCCCGCCTGTCCTTCGCCAACTACAAGATCAAGATGACTGCCCTCTGACATCCTGATGGATCTATCACATCTTCCAGAAGGGCAATGGAAAAGATTATTCATGACTTCTACTTAGATCTCTTTAATAGCCACGTCCACTTGCCCACATACCACATTCTGCATTATGGATATGTCGTTCCCAATGTTCTCCCTTCCGAAATCCAACATGCCATCTCATCAGTAAAGAAACAAAGAGCACCCGGCCCAGACAAGATCAGACCTGAACACCTGAAGAACTTACCATCAGAACTCATCAATACACTGGCTCGGCTCTTCACACGCTACCTGTCTGAATGCAAGGTTCCATCTCAATAAAAAAAACCAGCAGGACTGTACTACTATAAAGAAGGAAAACATCCACGACATTGGCAACTATCTCTCAATCTGCCTATTTTCTGTCATCTACAAACTGTTCACTCGAGTCATCCTGAATAGGATTAGCAGAACACTAGATGAAGGACAACCATGTGAACAAGCCGGATTCCGAAAAGGATTCAGTACCATCGACCATATCCACACTATTACTAAGCTCATTGAGGTTTCTCGGGAGTTCAAGATGCCGCTCTGTCTAACGTTCATTGATTTAAAGAAGGCCTTTGATTCTGTTGAGATGGAAGCGGTCATAGAAGCCCTAGCCAATCAGGGCGTACAAACTCAATACATCAGGATCCTTCGTGAGCTCTATTACGGATTCACTACCAGGATCTCACCATTCATTCTACAAAGAAGTAATCATCCATGTCAAGGGAGGGGTTCAGCAGGGTGATACCATTTCACCAAAACTCTTCAGTGCCACCCTCGAGAACATCATGCGATGACTGGAATGGGAAAGAATGGGAGTGAAGATAGATGGTCGGCAACTACACCACCTCCACTTTGCTGATGACATCGTTCTAATAACACCAAACATCAGCCAAGCGGCACAAATGCTGACTGACTTCGACCGTGAGTGCGGAAAGGTCAGACTACAGCTGAATCTTATGAAAACAATGTTTATGAGAAACAGCCTCGTTCCTGACGCTCCATTTGCTCTCAACGGAACCACCATCTCCGAATGCAACAGTTATATATACCTAGGTCGAGAAATCAACATGATGAATGACCTGGCACCTGAGTTGCGCAGGAGGAAGAGAGCGGCTTGGAATGCCTTCAAGAGCGTTGAAGAAATAACTAAGAGGACAAAAAACCTCCAGCTATGAGCACATCTCTTCGATTCCACTGTTCTTCCTGCATTAACATATGCCTCAGAGACCTGGGCCCTAAGAAAACAGGATGAGAATGCTATTTGGCTCCCTCAAAGAGGAATCCAAAGAGCTATGCTTGGAATATCATGATTCACTCAAATGAGAGATAGAATCTGGAGTTCTGATCTCCGTCAACGCTCAAGAATTAGGGACGCTGTCTCATTTGCAAAGGCATCAAAAATCAGATGGGCTGGACACGTAATGAGGTTTACAGACAACCGCTGGACTAGAGCCATTACTGACTGGATTCCACAGGACATCAAAAGATCGCGTGGACGCCCACCTACAAGATAGTCAGACTTCTTTGTCAAGACCCTGAATGATCGGTTTGAGGCTCTGCATGTTCCTAGAACGAACAGATGCCATTGGGCTACGCTAGCACGCCACAGGGATGAATGGAGATGTTACTGGCACCCGCTCGAGTAAATCGATGAATAACGGGGGATCAAGTGATCAAGTGATCAAGTGATTGTACCTATGAAAGAAATTATTGATAATTTTCTTTCACTTTTTCTGCATAATATAGTCATGTCAAGGTCTATCCATTTTATCTCAACTAGCACAATTTTATTGTTTTAAGTGTAAAGTAGCATTCTATGGGTATTCATAAAGGAAAAGATAAAGATCATATGATTGTAACAATCAATGCAGAGAAAGCTTGCAAAAAACAAGATCCAACTTTCATTCATAATAAAAACCCTCAACAAAATAATAATGTCCATGTATAACAAACCCACAGCCAGTAACATTCTCATTGGTGAAAAGCTGAAAACATTTCCTCTTGAGATCAAAGTAAATATGTTCACTTTCTCCACTTTTATTCAATATGGTATTAAAAATCATAGTAACAGTAATAGGAGAAGAAAAAAATCAAAGGGATCCAAATTTGTAAAGTCAAATAATCATTATTTTCAGATAATATGATGATATATTCAGAAGACCCTTGAAGAATCTACAATTAAACTTTTTGTTTTGCTTTGTTTTGTTCTGTTCTGTTTTGGAGTCACACCCAGCTATACTCAGGGCTTACTCCTGACTCTACTTTCAAGGATCACTCCTGGAGAGACTCAGAGGACCATATGTGGTGCCAAGAACCACATCTGAGTTAGCCAGTGCAAGGCAAGTA